CACGCTAAAGTATTTACTGTTACCGAAACCGCCTTTCTCCGCGGAGGAGATGCACGTTCCCCCTGCGACGATGCGACGGCGCCTGTAACGGGCCTCGGGGCGCCTCTGAAGAAATCACGAAGCCGTGTACTCTACATCTCCGGGACGAGCGCGCGCCTACCTACTCGGTCGCTCTTGGTCGCGCGACTATCGCGATTGGAAACGTCGGTCCCGGTCGCGACGGAAGCCGACGTAACGTCCATCCCGTTCGGCCGGAAGCCGTTTCCTCTCGCGACGCGATCGATATTGTCAGCAGGTGACGACCGCGATGTCATGGATCCGCGGGACCGGTCCTACCGGGCCTACGTGGACGGCACACGCACGCAGGAGGACCGCGGCTTCCACTCGGATGGCGTAGTCCCTCTCGCGCGCGCGCGCGTGTCGTTCTGCATGCCGAGCCGCGGAAACCGGTTAACGAGTCCCGAGCCGCTTCTTACTCGTCGACTGTCAACTACACACGTAGTCGCGCTGTATTCTTCTACGCCGCGTTCCCCGATGGATCCGGGACGACGACCGTCGCCGACACCATGTTGGGGCCGTACGTGCCCGCCGAGCCGCGACTCCCTCTCGCCTGTACTCCAGGGGACCGGCGGTTACGAGGGAGAAGGGGGGAGGGGGAAGGTCGCGGGTCGCTCGACTCGAGTGAATTCGGTGATACCTTCCGACGATACCAGATACGTCCTCTCTCTTGCTCGCCTCAGTCTGTTCTGTCTCGCGCTGTTTCGCGCTATTTCACGTGGCAAATTCCAACGTCAGAGCTCCTTTCAGCGTCGCTCTCTCTCTCTCTCTCTCCCCGGTCGGGCATGCCGCGAGAGCCTGGTGTACACCAGCGCGCGGCGAAGCGGGAATTCACGCGGGAGGCGAGTCGTTCCTTAAGTCGGGCGGTTTAAAGAGAGTCCCCACGCGTATCCTTTCTGCTGTCAACGCCGGAGATGCTGCCCCGAGACCGGCCGAACACCGGCGGTGGATCCTCCTCTGTCCTCCGCCACCGTTCCTGTCCATTCCACGCTCCTTCTATCACACTGCAGCGCGCGTCGCCCGTCCAGGTGCCGCTCTCGGGCGGTCGGAACGCGATAAAGCCGCCTACCTGTGTAACGTGCTAACCGGCACGACGATGGCAATACCTCCCGGTACGTATAGAGAGAGACTGAAGAGACCATGAGGAACACGAAGCGAGAGCACCGCGCCACTCTGCCGACCCACACGGCTCCATCCCCACCGCGGCTGGAAGCTGAGCGGTGCGACCGACCGACCGACCGCTTTCTTGCTTCAACCGCGGCATTGAACACGTTCAACGGCAGCTGTTGAATACCACGTGTCCCCGTTCTTCCTCTCACCCTCGTTGTCCCTCGTTCTCTCTTTCTCTCTCTCTCTCTCTCTTCCCTCTCCCTCCCTCTCACTCTCTCTCCTTCTCCATCCGTCTGGCCGGCTGTCTATCCGTCCCTTTCTGCCTCTCTCCTTCTCGGTCTCTCTCATGGTCTTTTCCACGGCTTCTTACTCTTTTTGCCCTACCTCAGCCGAGAACGCCACTTGAAAGACAGAGAGAGAGAGAGACAAGGGAACAGGGAGAGAGAAAGAGCCAGCGCTGCACGAAGCGCATGAGTTTGCGATTCGCGTTCTTTGACCTGCCATCAGCGTGGCGCGATGCACCGCTCGATCGTGGACTTCGGACTCGCATCATGTCCGCTGATGGCGAAGTACCTAGGTGCAAGTACCTCCCTTCGTACCTACCTGTGTTTCGGAATACTTGGCTGGCTACCTTCTCGAGCGCACCGCAGGTATCCACTCCGGGTACTCTCTTGCGCTCTAAGGTGTGTACCAGCAGTGGGTATTTCCTTGGGGGCACCTGTACCCTTTCTCAAGAAGCATTTCGAGGTGCATTCTTTTAAGCCAGTATGACCTGGGTCGTCGGTGTACCGCAGCCTTTCTCGGAATGTTTCCGAAGTACGGATTTATTAATGTCGGGGCTTCTCGTGCGGTGAACTTGGAGGGATGAAGCGTTTTAAACATTCTCCCCGAATATGTGCACACGCACACTCTCTTCTCGTAATCTTCTTTGAGCTTTGAGATTTTCCCTCGATCTCCGTGAACGATCGGGAGGAACGCGGTGTTGGGACAACTCCGTTAAAGTTCGGAAATTTACATAAAATAGAAGCCGACAGTTGTGTGCACTACACCGTATCTGCGCTGCATCGTTCGGGCTTTAGAAAGAAAGTGGAAAACGACTATGTTAAGTTCGTAAAGAACGGCTCTCTTTATAACTGGGTTATTCACAAATCAATTACGGTTTCTTCTCGATTGTAATTCCAAGGCGGTGGGAGTAGAGTAGTAGAGGAAACCATCGTGTAGAACGCGTATTATTCAAAGGCATAAATTATTTCCATTTACGCTGACGGCTTAACGTTTCAACGGGTTAACGTTCCCTTCTATCAGATTTAATTCCACCTCCTGAGGGGGAAATTGGAAAAGCAGGAATTTTCGTGGAGCCCCACGGAACACACATCATAACTGTATATTCAGCCGGAAATCAATTATTGAATATACAATCCAGCATTTTCCTCGAACGAAGTAAAACGAGAAAAAACGGTCGCACGGTAATCCGTCTTTCTACTTTTATTTCAGAAGATCATTTTTAATCTCTCGTATTTCCCCAATTTGCATTCGCGAATCGCTCGACGCGGACTGTGGAAATTGCGCGGAGAACTGAAATGCGCGCAGATGTCAGCCGCGTCGACGAGCATGGAAACGTCCGAATATCCGGTCGTTCGCTAAGACGTTTCATTTTCCGTTTCTATTCTCTCAGTTTCCTATGCCGTAGGGTTCCACGCTACAGGACTTCCCCGATCTTCAAGTGCGATGACATTCTTAATTCAGCGAAAGGTATTTAAAGTTTAATCCGAAGAGTGCGCCATTAGGGTTGACTAAATGCCAAGCCAATAGCGAAGTGCAAAGTTCCAAGTGCAAAGTCTACTATGCTCAACCCACTATGCTTGCCAACTTACAGCTCTATCCTTTCTGATATCGCCGACGGACCTCGGCGGCCTCGAGCGATGCTATTTTCCAGACAACAGGAAGAGGCTTTTAGGTCCTGCGACTCGTCGGTGTATCGACGTCCGACAATATTCGCCGTGTATTCACTGTTCGAACATGGAGACACGTTCATTCCTCTGACATTTCGCTCCCGATTATTGCGATTTTCGACGAGGGAGATTAATGTGGTGCTTTGAGACCACGTTACTGAATTAAAGTGAATTTAGAAAATGAATTAAACATAAAAATGAATTCATTGTATTAGAAAGAGAGTTTCGTTTTTTTTTTCTTGACTGTATTATTGTGGTTTCGCCGCGAAAGTCTCGAAATGTTGCCGAAATAACTTCAAAGTTCCCGTGCAGGTCAAAATTCCTAACTTCTTACGGACAGGACGTAACCGCAAGGACCGAAAACAAATCGTCAAAGACGAATGTTCTATTGTCCCCCACATTCTTTGCGGTATGTGTTCAGTCGTTTTAACGAAATCTCTCATGACATTATTGCCACCAGAAAGCTGTAAAACACCACCGAGTATTGAATTCGGCGGGGATGCGAAGTGAACAATGGTAAGAGGAGAAGTCGTCGGTAGTATGAGGGAAACCAAATGTTTCCTTGGTAACACGGTTTCATCCTAAACACTGAAAGAGTCGCCCAGCATGGGAAGCGATCCATCGGCTTTAAACGCCGAGACAGTTTCCAGTTTCCACTTGAGACGCATGCGGTTGTCCACTGGTAAGGGGCGACCTGTCACGTACAGTATTTTGAACCAAATCCCGGGCTACTGTAGGCGATTTATATTAGCCCGATTTACTCGAAATACCTTGAATACGCGAGTAAGAACTAAAGTAGATTCCATTACATATCCCACTTTTCAACGTACACTTTCGTGTCTCTTTTCACTTGCACATGTGAAATTGCCTACTCTCCATTGTTACATCGACTGCGATCATATCAATGTACAGTTTCAAAGGTTCCAGAAAAATCCGATTCTTTTCAATTTTCCCGCGGTTCTTTTCGGTTTCTTCTCGCAAGAAACGCGAAGGAAACTTTTTTTTCTATTTTTTTTTTATTTTTCTGTAGTTTTTCCGCCGAGAAATGAAAATAAAGCAGTTTTTAAAAACTATATATCGATATCTTACATTCGACATCGCAACGACGATTTGTTTATTCACACAGATATCGGTTTTGATATAAAAGCAGTGACTGTACTCTAAATGACTATAATGTACTAATTTCTTCGTAAAACTGCAGTTGCAACTTCACAATAAAAAACATTTTGTACTTGTGTTAAAATCCTTGTTAATATTTTTGTATTAAACTTTTAATATACCCGTGCGTTAATTTAACATATTGTGTTTATATTATCTCAATATTTTGTGTTGAGTCGACAGTCCACATAAATGTTAAAATAACATATTTTATACTTCTGTGTCAATTAACATATTATGGATATTAATTTGGTGTTAATTTTTTAGATAGTATTTGTGTTACTTTTTAATATATTCACCTTGTGTTAAATTAACCTAAAAATGTGTGTGGACCGTTTGGGGACACGTGAAATGTATTAAATTCAACACAAAATTTGTTACTATGTGCGATGCAAAATTGAGCTGACGGACTCGGTCGAAAAAGCAACGATGGTATTTTCGAGAATCTAATTAAATAATACACACGGCTCAAACTTGGTGCGGTATATTTGATTAGAAAGAACTGCAAATGTTTACGACTAACGTGTTTCTTTAATGGTTGAGTTTATAGTTTCGACAGGTTGACTCGATAAAGTTCAATTTATCAATTTATAGTACTTGGTTTTACATATGTACTTGTAGAAATTGTATTATTACGCAATCCCCTGCTACACATGTCCTTTAAATATCTTCTCTCGAATCATGTCGGTAAAGAAACAAAATATCAAAGAGAAAGTCACTGACCTGTTCTGCAGACTCGGTGATGAAGGAATGACAGTACTGTAGGCTAAAGTGGGCCCTGGGTTCCCGCGCTAGAAAGCTGAACTGGGCATGCTGCGGCTCACAAGTCGCGTAAGAGATGCGTCTTAACGCGTGCGCCATTTGCACGCACTGCAACAAAAATGAATAGAATTTTCAACATTACGTAAGAACGTTTCGGAAGGATGTACAGGTAGAGGAAAAAAAGAATCCGTGAAAATTTAACTTGACCACAACATTGCAACTATATATATACATATATATATAACTATCTAAATGAAAGAAATTACAATTATTTAAATATATTTTAAGGTAATAATAAATATTTTTAGATAATATTTATTTACAAGTCTATTTCGTTCTGTAAGTATCGAACGATTTTGATGTCCATTCGTGTGTATTAAAAACTCTCATTATTTTCACGTTCTTTTAAGAAATACACTCGAATAATGCTTCAATATTGACCATACTGTTGTATCGCGATATTCGATGACTCGATAGTACGCACGTTTGGATTGCGCACGCGGCGGGCAGGAATAAAAAAATAATTCGTTTCAATGTGTCCCTGACTGACGGCTTCCGAAGCATTTTTGAGAGCGAACGTCATGTTGAGCGCAAACAAAAATGATTTACGAGTGTTTTATTATTGCTCGCATCCTGTTGAATGATTTAATCGTCTGAACGGTAAATCCCGCCCGTGAAACATGGACGCTGCGCGTGTATTGTGTTAAGACCTGTGCAAGAAACTAACATCCTCATTAGGTGAGAGATATCACCATAAATATCACTTATGTACATCACAGCTCGTTAGCAACCGTAGCAAATCTCGCATGAGTTCGAGCGAGATGTGCAGAATGAGATAATTAAACTGTACAAAATACGAAGTCGTGACATCGGTGGAAAAATTATTTGACAGGTTGAACCTGCGATACACTGGCTATCTTGTTTTGTCGTATTATCTGCCAACCGTGACAAATTCAGCTTCGATTTTTTCTTAACGAACGTGTCAAGGTATTCAAAGTTTTTGAGATTATTTAGTCAGTGAAATAGGAACTGTCTGGCGAGCAAAGTTTTCGGAGAGAAAACAGTTCGCAAAATTATGTATTTTAATTTGCGCCGAGTGTAGGTTTTGCTTTAATTGAGTTTTAATTCAACGCTTCGTCAGCGAGCAGATATACGATACCAGAACTTCGGACATGTTTCCCCTGAAACCAACATAATTAGCGTTACTTGATATTTATTCAGAAACTGGAAACATATTAACAAGTAGCGCCGATAATAAAACAATCACTTCGATTATCTCGCGGCGTATCATTATATCTCAATGATGGCTCGACGTGTCAGGAAGCGGAGAAAACGGACAGTTCCTAATTATTGGCCACTCGAAAAACTTGTGACGTCTTCGGCCAGAGTTTCGTTCTGAAACTTTTAATGACTCGCCGACGCAACGAGTTCCACTCGCGTAAGAATACGACGGCCACTAACTTGTGATGCGTATGAGCTTTCGGCCGGACATTCGATTGTTCGTCTTCCTCTCGAAAGGCTTCGATCGTAGTTCTAGACAGACTTCAATCGCAGCCTATCATAAGAAGCTCGCATTGATATTTCCCGTGGAAATTCAAACAAATTCAATCTTTTCAGCGCTTCGGAATGCTATACCGAAGGTCGTTTCGTCGACGCGGAGATCTTGAAAAATTCACGCTAATCGTTTCAGCATATTGCTACAACGCACATACGCAGACAATTTTTTTCGATAACATACAGTGCCAGTAATATTTACTAGCCTGCATTGCGCGACTGGGACGTGTTCATACTAAAGCTAAAATATATGTATTACGGTGAAAAAAATAAACGAATAAATTGATAAAATATATTTTTTAACCCGAAGGTATACAAATTTACTATACGTACAAAAATATATCGGGAAAATAAAAAATGTCCCACACCGACATATATATTATCGCCGTAGCAATTTGGATTGTTCGTTATTTTTAATGCCAGTATGAGAAAAAATTTTATCTCGTGTAGTAACTATTGCGTAACATATAATTTCACTGTGTATGCATGTCTATGACAACAGCAGAAAGATATTCATTGTGTTTCTGGGTAGTAATGAGCAGCCGTAATCGTGTCGATTGCGTTGCATTGCTTGCCCCATTGTTTGCAAAGGAACTTTTTACGTACCGATAAATTTATGCGATAATAAATAAACCTATGCAATTCAATTGCAAATTATAATAATTCATGTGACTTTATAATCTTAACTAAAATTATTGTTTATTACTGAGACGTTAATATTTATGTATAATTAAATTAACTTTTCAAACTTTTATTAGCGTTAAAACGATGCTATGCATAGCAAAGATCTATTCAGCATAGGGATTTTCTTTTTCGCGCGCGTTTCAAAGCGTTATTGAAAAAGTTACGTATTTCTTGGGGAAAATCACTTCTGCGTACAGTTTTATTCTTTGCTCTCTCTCAATTGTCCATGTACTTCCTTGAAATTTCTTTCACATTATATGTATATCCTAGCCGGATGAAATTGCTATGTGGTACTTTTTCACTTTATAAACGTTTATATCTTTGAGAACAATTCTCTGCGTGTGTATGTATTGCATTAATGCAAAAATTCGTTCAATTATTCTTCAGTCCTTTGCTTAGAAATCCCAGAATTTCTATGACCGTAGAATCATACAATTATCGGAGAGATAGGCAGGTCTTTGAACAAATACCGTATACTTAATTGATTCATTATATTGAAAAATAAATAAATATTATATGTACAATTTGATTAAAAAACGAAATGAACTTTTGCATCAACCAAATAGATCTTGCTCCCGCTACTATCATCATGCTAAAGTAAGAGTTCCTATAAAATAGTGTACATTGTCGTTGCAATTACACTCGATACACACACACACACACACACACAGAAGGACGGCACTTTTAAACGCGCTTTTCATTACGGAACGTAAATTTTTAAAGCCACCTATAAATTTGATAGCCGGTGAGGATAAAATTCGTCAATGCGTGCGGCGAGCGACATTTTCGTTTCCTCGTCGGTTTCCGGGCCGAGATTTCACCGATATCTCGGCCAGAAGTTTTATATCTTCGCGACGGACATTTTGTGTTCTCCCTCGCTATTTTATTACACAGTCTCGCGGAATTACATCGAGCGTGTTTACAATCTCGCTCTCGCGCGCGCGTTCTATTAATATTTATCTGCCCATTGTGTCGCGACGCTATGCACTTGCGCATACTATAGATGCTATACAGACAGCGGAATTTCTTTGGTACGTAGAAAAGCTTTTCTGTCCTGTAAAAGAAATTGCACATCTCCATGTTCTCGCAGTTGATATCGGTCTACTTCAACGTATTTCGATATTTTGACGTTGTTGTAGTCACAAATAAATTATATATTGGTAAACACGCTACATTATGTCAGTATTAAGATATTTCAACACATTTAGGTCCTAACGTTGCGGTCGTAAATAAATGATGAGTGAAAATAAAATAAAAATATTTATTAGTGAGATATAAGGTTTATTTCATAAAGAGTTAAGGTTTATTTTACAGAAATAAATCTTATATCCTACAAGTAAATTAAGTATTTTTTTTCTCACTCTACATTGAGGAAAAGTACTTAAAAATCTATTTGTGGAATATAACGTTTATTTCATATAAATAAACCTTGTTTCTGTGAAATAAATCTTATTTTTCTCTGTGAAATAAACTTTATATCTTACAAATAAATTTTAAGTACTTAAGTACTCTTTAAGTACTTTTTTTCTCAATGAATGGAGAAAAAGAAGTGGTTGAATCGAAAATAGGCAGTCACTCTGACTCAAAAAAATAATGTGTCCAATGAACAAATTGCAATATAATAAATAAATATAACAAATCTAACAAATGACAAAAATTATAAGGTAATAAGAAATCAGATAACAAAGTTGCGCAACAATATGTTGCGTCGATATAGTTGTAGAACAAATCGCAATCGTTAAATCAACTGATAATTCATTATAATAATTATATAATTTATTCAATGGATTAAACGCTGTGTTTGAAAAAATTTTATCCGTCAAAGCAAAATTTTGATGATTTATTTCTTTTTCTCAATACGCGCAGGTAACAAACTGCGCGAGTAGTTACGTTTAAAACTTTTTTAGACACAATAAAAGTACTTTGAGTCGTTGAAATCTTTCGACCCGGATTCTTCATTCTGTTTAAAACGTTACATTTTTTTTCTAGGCTGACGCTCTCGTTAAAATTATTTGCCTTAAAAATTTGGAGCCCCTCAAATTTCCTCGAGTATATTTTTCTTTTACGCCGTTATCGCGCTCGATTTCTCAATCTCAAGGAGCAGAACGATTTCATCTTCGAGCCACCAACGTGATATACTTTCCTAAATTCGTCTTTCGCGGAAGTGAGCATGGCGGAGTGCGAGCGAGTAGAATGGTGATTGAAAAGATGATCGTACCGTAGGAGCGAATTTTCCGGCAAGGGATATCCCGCGATTCTATCAGGCCTCACGCTGAATTTTTCATGATGTCTGCATTTACTCGAAGTAGCAAACTTCTACGTGAGAAAGATATAAATGACTGCGCCCGGTGAGAGGCCGCTTTTACTTACACCTCTTGAGTGGACATCGATTCGGACTCGGGTCTTTCGCTGCCATTATTAAATTACATAATCAAAATGCAGGTGAATCCTTCAGCTTATTTCGATCGTGTGACTCGTGCTAATGACATTCACTTTAGATAGCAATAAACAAATTGGTAATACCAGGATGAATCGTCGTTTTATCCGGATACACGGCGGAAGACAATAAGAGAATGTAACGTTACATGAGCTTTACAAACTTGGAGGACACTATACAGGCTATTGTGCTAGCTCGATGCTACAAATGGTTATCTCATGCCGTATTCTCCATGTTCAATTGTCCTTAAAAAAGGACTTGCTCCAGAATTATTTAATATTCAATTATTTCGACATTCTCTGTTTACATTTAATCTTTATTCTTCATTTTAGTAAGTAATGTGTTAATTTTGTGACTTATTTAACTGCAGATAAAATATGTGCATGATAAGTATATATTATACAATCTAATAAAAATGAATAGGCGAATATAA